GTCTTCAGTTCCTAAGGTGGGTGGACTTGGGTCCTCGTAAGCCACTGTATCATTGTTTGAATTGTACATAAAAGAGATATTTTTGTTTTATATTATTCTTGTATTACATTGCTCAACATTTAATCCCACCCACATCACTGGTCCGATTGTATGTGCTGCTGGCTGTGTTGACACCAGTATTTTGTCTCCTGCGAGTTGAGTCCCTTGGTTGAGCTGCTCTACACCTAATCCCAGACTTTGACATTGTTTTGAATTTATTAGGAATAAGTTTTCTCCTTGAAGTTCACAGAGTGAAGCACACGAATCATGACATTTACTGCAGGATCTCCCCTTTCATCACTGTAGTTCTGTTCCTTTCTTTGGAAAAAGAAACCTTTCTCACTTGTTTGCTAAATCCTGAGTTTCCAGGTGGAGATTCTGAAGCAGGCCTCTTTCTCTCTGTGGGTATTTCTACTTCACACTCTGTCACAGCACTGCCTCCATTACTGGTTCTTTGATCCTCAGAAAAGAGCTTCCTTTAGCAAATGTTCCACACATGTAGTTCTCAGGTTTTGTAATCATTTGTATACACAACACGAACAATGTTCAGTCAGTGGATCTTGTCTTCATGTTTCCATTTATCCTCAGTGAGGAGCCCAGTTCTCAGATTCTCTTACTGTGGTGTGCATAAGTCAGTTAGTGTGTTGTTTCATGGTAAATTTTAGGTAGGTAAATGAGGAGAAAAGAAGAAATCACTATAAAAGTATTGTTAGACTACTTATGCACTGCTGTTTCTGTACTTTCTACATTACATGCATGGCATAGGATTTTCTTTACAAGGATTGTGTCTTCTTGCTGTGGAGGGAGAGCACACATAGTTCTTTATCTTCCACCATGTTCTATTCAGTGCTCTTGGAGAAAGTGTCTTTTGTGCCAGGGTTGCTGACCCCACTGCAAAGTCTGTTAGGAAAGGGTAAAGTCCACAGATCATATTAAGGTAAAATTCTATGTTTTAGCTATGACTACAGTGCATGGTTATAGGCCCTCACCAAATTGATTTCATAAAAAGACTTATAAAGCAGTGTGACTTTACATCAGATAAACATATACTATTGATACTGTGTGCTGCAAATATAGTAGGGAAATGGTTTTTGTATGTTGAGGGCTTAATTTACGTGCTGTCCTCCTTAACATCATAATCTTCACAAAAATTTGGAGGGTCTGATGCTATTCTTTTTTTATACAGATTTAGCAAATAAATTATAGTTACTCCATTAAGAAATATCCTTTTGAATAATTCAGATTTCTCCTCTAATTCAGAAGTTGTTTACTCATTATTTCTTTCTTTCTTGGGTCCAGTACCCTGTTTGAGTGCACATGGTCTCATTGATATTTTTCATTTTAGGATCCACTGATATTCAGGACTGTGTCCATAGCCTTCTCCCAGAAGGAATGGGAATGCCTAGACTCTACTCAGAGGACTTTGTACAGGGAGGTGATGTTGGAGAACTACAGCAATCTGGTGTCTGTAGGTGAGGAGATTTTTCTATGAGTATTTTTACTGTTCTCCATCCTTTTATAGACAACAATCTACTTTGTACAAATGTTAGTTTTGCTGTGTAGGTCTTGGATTCCTTAAATTTACAAATTAGAATATTGGGAATATCTGTGCATCATTTCCACCTGTTAGAGGAATTATTTGGATTCCTTAAATTTACAAATTAGAGTATCGGGTATATCTGCGCATCATTTCCACTTCTAAGAGAAATTATTTTTGATTATAGAGCAATTATTATTTTTTATTATTTTTGGAGTTAATTTCAGCCTCCCATTAATACATGATACTGCAGCCAGAATCTTTAAGGTTCCATTTCCATAGCTGCATTTTGAATCATTGATAGAACTCAGTGTATGAAAACTGAAAGAATTCCTCTATGTTCTAATGAGTCTGTCCTAAAATAGAAACTGAGAATTTATTTGGAGAGTCATCTCTTATTCTCTGTATTTCCAGTGGAGCACAGTGCTGTGATAGAAATCACATACTTTCTAAAGAATCCAGCAAGCACATGTGCCTCTTTCTCATACATAGGTCTTGCTGTGTGTAAGCCCGTTCTGGTCTCCTGTCTGGAAGAAAACAAGGAGCCCTGGAATGTGACTAGAAGCGAGACTGTAGCCAACCAGGTAGGTCTCAGTGGAGAGGCCCAGGTTCAAGGACCTAACGAAAGAGGGATTAAGACCTGAAAATTGTATTGCCATAGTCTGTTGCATTAGAGATTCTGATACTTTTATAGTAGTTTCATCAAAATGTGTCCGTTAAATGTCAAATAACTTCTTTTATTGCACATGAACTATGTGGCAATTACTAGTATGCTAATATCACTTGATTTATTTAATTTTTCCTTATCTCCCATGTCACATTTCTTGCTAATGCAAACTAATAGCTGATTTTTTCCCCTGTGTGTTCTTCCTGTACTACATTTTTTCAATGTGTATTTTTATTGAATTTTTCTGCATTTCATAAAAAAATCTTAATCATCTTTTAACCCCTTACCCGATCTGCACCCATGTACCCCTCACCAGATTTTATCTGCATGCATTCTGTGATTAATATTAAGGTCTATCGACTCAATTTTTTAACATTTCATGAAATTAGTAAATTTTGTGTCTTTTGTTTTCTTCCTCATATGAAAATGTTTGTGCCATTCCGATTCTTCATGTTTTTTCATTGTTTTATACTTGCTAATGTATTTCTTCTGAAAATGATTGTAAGACTTCAATGAGAATCACATAGTATATTTGTATAGCATGAAATTCTATATTCTCTTCCCCTTTTAAATAAGAATGTGTTAAAAATTTGGGACTGTCTACAGTTCATTTGGGGATTATTCTGTTTGATACCCACTGTTGAAGTCTATATTTCAGTTTGGTCAGAAAAGAGATTGTAAAACATTGACCGGGTATAATATTTAAGACATAATATATTGCCCAGTGCAGTTCTTCATTTGTTCTTTGATTTTGGAAGTTTGCACATCCTCCTGTGTGTGTGTGCACATCAGTCCTGTTTCTTTGGAATGCATACTTTCTCAGGCTGCTCATATACTTGTTCATTCATAATCTTTCTGACTTCTGAATTCTTCACAGAATGCATACTTTCTCATGGTGCTCATATACTTGTTCATTCATAGTCTTTCTGACTTCTGAATTCTTCACAGATAGCATACAGTTCCCAGACCTGTGGTTCGGAGGATGTGTCTTGTTCAGGCACCTTTCTTCTCTCTATAATTCTCGTCAGCCATGAGATGAGATTTCGGATGTCATGACTTTCCCTGTCATGGCTCAGTCTTGCCATTGTCTGTTAGTCTCTGAGCCCCATGGATACTGGACTGAAAGCTCTAAAGATGGAGCCAAAGTTTAATGTTTTATTTCCTGAATAATTTTTTGCAGTTTTAGATCAGTTGAAAAAGATCCACAATGGACTCTCTGGTAATATAAGAGAAGATAGATAAAATTCAGTTTCAAATTTGAAATAAGGTAAAAAGATAGTGATTACCTTAATTTCCGGGTGTGGTGTCACAAGCCTTTAATCTCAGCACTTGGGAGGCAGAGGCAGGTGGATCTTTGTGAGTTAGAGGCCTGCCTGGTCTACATAGTGAGTTCCAGGACAGCTGGAGCTAAAAAGAAAACCCGTCTTAAAAAAACAGGAAAAAAAAAAAAAAAAAAAAAAAAAGACTGGGAACACAAAGGGCACTGTGAATGCCCCCATTCAGTACTTGACTCATGTTTCAGTTTTCAGGCTTTCAGCATACATTGCAAAAGTCCTTGACTCCACAGTGGATTTCAGGATGATTATAGGGCTTTGTGTTTGTTTTTGTTTTTATTTTCTGTCTTTTTGAATGGCATCTTTTTGTAGCCCAAGTAGGCCTGGAACTCACTATGTAGACTAAGCTGGCCTTGTACTCACAGAGATCTGCCTACCTCTGCTGGGATTAAAGGCACACACCACCACACCTTACTTATTATAGATTTAATTTTGAAGTTTACCACTAAAATATTTAAACTCACTGTATTTCATCCCTGTGCCACTTCTGAGTTCCTAAAGTTCATGATTCAATATATTCTCCGTATTTCTTTAAAATATAACCATGAATTCTGAAGTGATGGCTGGCTGCCATGAATTAATACATTTTTTTCAAATGACCTTCTCCCTCCATCAATTTTAAGAGATACCTTTTTTGCAAGTCAATTTTAGTTAATAAGTTCACTTTCAGTATGATATATGTATTTTTACATTATCTCATGCTGTTTTCCCTCTGGTCTTTCTTGAGAAGAGACCAGATATTACTACAGATTTCTTGCGTTTGTAATAAGTTGGTAATTTTCCCTAGCAGAATTAACTACAGATTTTCTTTTTTTTCTTCTTTTTTCTTAGTATTTTTCTCATGTGCCTTTGGCGTATACATAGAGTTCTGTTTGTACTTATTTCAACTTCCTAAATGACTCTTATAACTGTACATTCGTGTATTTTTCATATATTTTCTAATTTATTTTTATTGAAGAAATTTTGTCACTTGAGTTTTAATTTCATCTCCTTCTTTTACCCCATAGATTTTTATTTTTATTTTATTGAATGTTTCACAATGTTGGAAATTGTATTCATGCATGTTACATGTTTCTTATGTATCTGTGTGTGATTGGCTCATCCTTATTCTACATATTGAAATGTTGTCTTCTTTTTCCCTTTGCCTGGAGAACTCAACTCTTAGAAGACATCAGAGCATACACAATGTAGAGAAACCCTACAGATGTGAAGAATATAACAGGTCCTTTATGTTGATGTCAAGTTTCAAATTACAGCAGGGAAGTGATACGGGAGAGAAACTCCAGAAATATGAAGGATGTGGCAAGTCCTTTCGTCATGTGTCATATCTTACAGCACATCAGCAAAGGCATACTGGAGAGAAACCCTACAGATGTGAAGAATGTGGCAAGTCCTTTAGTAAATGGTCACATCTTAGAAGACATCAGCAAATACATACTGGAGAGAACCCCTATGGATGTGACGAATGTAGCAAGTCCTTTAGTCAAATACCACATCTTAGTTTGCATCAGCGAATACATACTGGAGAGGAACCCTACAGATGTGAAGGTTGTGGCAAGTCCTTTAGTCAAATGTCAAATCTTAGAAGACATCAACAAATACATACTGGAGAGAAACCCTATAGATGTGAAGAATGTGGCAAGTCCTTTAGTCAAATGTCACATCTTAGAAGACATGAACAAATACATACTGGAGAGAAACCCTACAGATGTGAAGAATGTGGCAAGTCCTTTAGTCAAATGTCGTCTTAGAGCACATCAGTGAACATATACTGGAGAGAAACCCTATAGATGTGAAGAGTGTGGCAAGTCCTTTAGTGAAAGGACACATCTTAGATTACACCAGCGAATACATACTGGAGAGAAACCTTTCAGCTGTGAAGAATGTGGCAAGTCCTTTAGTCAAATATTATATCTTAGAGCACATCAGCGAATACATACTGGAGAGAAACCCTACAGATGCAGTCACATCTTAGAAGACATCTGCAAATACATACTGGAGAGAAACCCTACAGATGTGAAGAATGTGGCAAGTCCTTTATTGAGATGTCACTTCTTAGAGTACATGAGAGAATACATACTGGAGAGAAACCCTACAGATGTGAAGAATGTGGAAAGTCCTTTAGTCAACTATCAAATCATAGATTACATCAGCGAATACATACTGGAGAGAAACCCTACAGATGTGAAGAGTGTGGCAAGTCCTTTAGTCAAATGTCACGTCTTAGAGTACATCAACGAGTACATACTGGAGAGAAACCCTACAGATGTGAAGAGTGTGGCAAGTCCTTTAGTGAAAGTTCATGTCTTAGATTACATCAGCGAATACATACTGGAGAGAAACCCTATAGATGTGAAGAATGTGGAAAGTCCTTTAGCAAACGATCAAATCTTAGAAGACATCAGCAAATACATACTGGAGAGAAACACTACAGATGAGAAGAATGTGGCAAGTTCTTTAGTCATGTGTCATATCTTAGAGTACATAAATGAATATATATTGGAGAGAAACCCTACAGATGTAAAGAATGTGGAAAATCCTTTAGTAAACTATCAAATCTTAGAAGACATCAGCAAATACATACTGGAGAGAAACCCTACAGATGGGAAGAATGTGGCAAGTTCTTTAGTCATGTGTCATATCTTAGAGTACATAGCGAATACATACTGGAGAGAAACCCTACACATGTGAAGAATGTGGAAAGTCCTTTAGTAAATGGTCAAGTCGTAGAAGACATCAGCAAATACATACTGGAGAGAAACCCTACACATGTGAAGAATGTGGAAAGTCCTTTAGTAAATGGTCAAGTCGTAGAAGACATCAGCAAATACATACTGGAGAGAAACCCTACAGATGTGAAGAATGTGGAAAGTCCTTTAGTCAAATATCACATGTTAGATTACATTAGCAAATACATACTGGAGAGAAACCCTACAAATGTGAAGAATGTGGCTAGCCCTTTAGTGAATTGTCAGGTCTTAGAAGACAGCAGCAAATACATACTGGAGAAAAACTCTACAGATGTGATAAATGTTCCAAGGCCTTTACTCATATGTTAATATTTCAATTACATCACTGAATGCATACGGGAGAGAAACCCTTCAAATGTGAAGAATGTGGCTAGTCTTTTAGTGACTGCTGAGCAGCAAATACGTACTAGAGAAACACCCTACAGATGTGAAGAATGTACCAAAGCCTTTACTCATATGCCAATACTTCAATTACATCACTGAATGCATACCAGAGAGAAACCCTTCAAATGTGAGGAATGTGGTAAGTCCTTTAGTCAGTGGTCAAGTCATAGAGTACATGAAAATACTTGAGAGATAACCGTACAGATATGAAGAATCTGACAAGTCCTTTACTGTGAGCTCAACTTATAAGTCACATAAGAGAATTCAGATTGGAGAGAAACCCTACAAATGTGAAGCTTGTGACAAGTCCTTTAGTTGTATGTCAGATTTAATGTTTGATCAGAGAATTCATACTGGAAAGTACCCATTCTGGTAAGATGAATGTGACCAACTGAGCACTCAGCACATAGAAGGTACCAGAGTATTCATACTTAAGAGAAACCTCACAAATAAAAATGTTTTGGGAAGTCCATTCCTTGTATTTCAACTCTTAGAGAACGACAAAGAAATTATAATAAAGGGAGACACTGCAGTATAAAGAATGTGGCTCTTCCTTTAATCATGTCAAATGGTAGCAGTTATTAAAAACTCATACTAAAGAGATAGTTTACAGTTTCTCAGTATTTGGTACATCCTTTACCGTGGACTCAATCCTTAGAATACAAAATAGCATTCGTACTAAAGGGATATGTCTAAAAGTCTGGAAAATTTTGAAACACTTATATTTACATATTAAAAAACTTCATAGTGCACTGAACGAAAACTTAGAATTAAGTGCAAAATTGCTAATCAAAATTTATTAATTCAAATATATGAAGAGCTAGCAACATAAAAAAAGTGAGAACACCTTCGCTTTCCCATCCAATTGTGGTGAATATCACTGAGAACTCAAGTTACACTTAACAGCACAGTGTGTTTTTATGTTTTTTTAAAAAAATTATTATTTTTATTTTATGGGTATGCATGTATTGCCTGCATATATGTAAGTGCACCTGTGTCATGCAGTGCCCACGGATCTTATAAGAGGATGTCTGATACACTGGAACTACAGTTACAGGCAGTTGTTCACTGCCAAGTGGATCCTGGCATTCAAACCCTGGTCTTCTGCAAGAACAGCCAGTGTTCTTAAGTGTTGAGCCATCTCTCCAGCCCCCACAGTGTTTTTTAATGTATCATGCTACAACATCAAGCACTTTTCCATTTCTCTTCCCAAAATGTAGCCTTTAAGTTGGAAAAGTGTACATTGGGGAAAAGTAGACACTTAGGCTTCTGTCACTGTTGTCATACTGTCTTTGAAGAGAGATTGTTTCTATCAGAATCTAGACAGACTTGTTTCCCTACAGTTAATACCAATGCATATGGAGTTGACATCAATGGAGTTGCACTCAAAGTCTGACTCAGGTTAACAACATGTGCCTAATTTCACCCCGTAGCTATTTCAGAGTCCATAATATATATAAATAGTGTTAGAAGTTGGCATAATCCTCGCATTGGTTCCTTGGCTTATGAACTGAGGGTTATTGTAGTTGGAAAATCAGGAAGGAAATGATCAAAGCTCCTGTAGAGAGAAAATATGAACGTAATCACCCTGCATTCCTGGAGGGACTGTGAAGAACATCAACACTATTCAGAATTTGAATGATGTGGGGGGTGGGAGAGATCCAACATCTCACTTCAGGAGTCCTAGTTGGCCTGTGAAGAATATTGATGGATGTATAACCATATAGTTGTGTAGAAATATTTATTTTATATGTAATCCATGAATCTAATTGCAGCTGTGGTGCAAGCTCTGGTATTCTGACTTGAGCTAATTAACATACCAACAGGAACTCATGTGATGTTAGTAGTATTGCAAATGCTTTATCGCCTTACATGTTCATAAGGAGCACTAGAAATTTTCTTTCACGTGTCAAGGCCAGCATTATTGCTTTTTGTCTTCCATATCAAGTATATATTAATTCTGTATAGCAATGTCTTAACATGGTTTACAGGAAACCATTAGTGCCTACATCTCTATCATTTTACATGCTGTGCAGCTATGAGCTACAAATGGAGAGTTGCACCTTTTCAGTTTGTTTCTGTCACATTTCTGAAAGAATCGTGAAGGTAAGTCTTCAGAGTGATAATTTTGAGCAGTGTCCATGATCATGCATTTTTCCTAGAAATAGAAATGCACAGAATTGTGATTATTTACTGATTCATGAGCTCAACCATTGGTTTCAGAGACTTTGATGGAGCATACTTGGAAAATTGAGTAGAAAGATATTTGGTGTAAATACAACTGAATAGAACACTTCAACTGGCCTATAGATATTAAGATAATTATGTCCCATGTAAATGCTCTTAAAAAAAATGAACTCGGCACAAGATTTCATTAAACAAGTAAATAGAGCTACCATTTCTTACTAATCAACTTCATCCCATCACCATCCATTTTCCTTTCAAAGAGCCCATGAACAAACTGGCAATAGTGTCAGACATAGAATTTGTGAATAAGCTCATCAGCATGGATGGCTACAGATCAAGTCTGATGTGATTACTATTTCTGACTTAGTGAGGGCACAATTCCCAACACTTCTCTTTGTCCTCATAAGGTATCACCACAATGTATACAAAGTATGTAGTCTTTTTTAAAGAGATATGGTTGTCTTATCTCAAAATTCACTCTCTGAACAATGCTGTGATAAATCTGTGATGGCCTCAAGCCCTTTACATGTGAGAAAATGAAGGACACTACGCTTTAACTCTGCAACCTTCTCCCACTCTGTCATTCCTGGATTGACTACATGTCACTGCCTTAGAATCCATTCTCATGCCAGGGCACTCAGGTATTGTCAGCCAGATACCCCTAAGCAATCATCTGTCTTCTCACCAGACATGTATAAACACATGGAAAGATCTATTCATATTCCAGAAGCATGGTGGGACCATGCCCTCATGAATGTCATCCAACTATAATATGATTAAACTCAGGTAAATGTCCCTATTGCGCATCATTAAACTTGGACAAATAATAAAAGCAATGTGAAAAGAAAGAAAACAAAGATGAAAAATGAGAGAAGAAAATTTCATCTCTACATCTTTTGGACTTTCCTAGAGGCACCAGCCATTTGGAAACCTAGTGAATAGAAATTCCTAGTTTGAGGGTTCTGTTGACTTATTGAGATTGGTCCAAATTTCCTTTACTATCTATGCTTTGTCCTCAAACAATGTGCACAGTCTTGACTGTGTTTGATTTTCATTATTATGTTTTAGACGGTCTCCCATAGCGCCAGACAACTTGGAACTGACTGTGTAGTCCAGACTGGCCTGTACCTCACAGAAATTTGCCTCCTGAGTACCAGGATGAAAGGCATGCACCACTAAGCCTGGCAGTCCTGACATTGAGGAAAGGTCTTCAAGCTCCTTGAATTGTTTTACATTTCTTTGCCTTGCAGGGTGTCTGGGCAATTTCCAAGACATCACAGGGGGCAACTTCTCTGAGAGTCTTTGTCTTTTCCTTAGAGGTTTGTGTTGTGCAAAGAAGCTTCTTTGTCAAGAGACAGTGATAATTACTGAGTTTCATAATGTCACGCAAAGATTGATGTACGGAAGCTTTGTAGTTTTATGACATTCCATTTGCCAGTTGTTTTATTTCCTGTCCTACTGAATCCTATTAAGGAAGTCACTGACAGCTTATATCTAGATGGTGACACATGCTGTTCACCTTTTGCTCCAGCAGTTTCAGAGTCTCCAGGGTCATGATGAGGTCTTTTCCATTTGGCATTGAATGTTGTAGAGGGTGAGAAAAACGGATCTATTTTCATTGTTTTGCACGCTCGTATCTTTTCCCATTGCCGTTTGTTGAAGATGCTGCCCTTTCTCTAATGTTTGTTTCTGGCACCTTTGTGAAACAGTGGTGTAGCTAGAATTGTGTGAGCTCATGTCCGGGTCCTGAATATCATTCCAAGTGTCTGTTATTAGTGTTGTAGTTAGGCCATTGGGGTTTTGTTTTCTGGTCCTGCTTCTTTGGTGTTTTTGGTCTTATACTGGGATGGGTGTTTCATTCCTCCTCCTCCCCTTTCTCCTCTTCCTCCCCTACCTCCTCCTTATTCTCCTATCCTCCTCTCCCCCTCCTTCCTTCCCTCCTCCTCCTCCCCTCCCCCTCTTCCCCTCCTCCTCCTCCTTCTCCACCTCTTTGTCCCCTCCCTCCTGCTCCTCTGCTCCCCCCCTTCCTTTCTTCTTTTGATCCTTTTGAGAGAGAGTCTCCCTGTAACCCCAGCTGTCCTGAAATTCCCTATGTATGTCAAGCTTGCTTTGATCTCACTGATATCCACCTACTGGGATTAAAGGTGTGCACTACTATGCCTGGCCATGGGCATTTTATTCTTTAGATATGAGAAACCTTCTATGTGTTTCTACCTAAAAATGTTCTCCATACGTTCAGCCTGGTGTTCCTCTCCTTTTCTCTTTGCCTTTAATTTGTAGTTTGGGTCTTTCAGTGACTTCTTAAATGTCTAGCATGAATACTTCCTGCCATTTATAAAAGCAATTCTCTTTTCTTTATGTAAAAGCAATTTTAACAATGATTTCCAGAAAACAGACTTGGTTTAGTTAGCAAAATGTCAATATCCCCCTCTAATGGTGCCAGCCGTAAAGTGCAGGATGAATTCAGGTCCAAATTATCCATAACCAGCTGACCACTTAAACTTGAGACATCTATTTTCTTTGAAAATACAAAGTTTCTGGAGGTTCATTCACAATGTCAAAATCATTTGTAGTAGTAGAGTTCCAGGATTTGACTCTAGTAGGGGAGCTCTCTGAGGAAATGATTCAACTAATTTTTTTAGTATCATTGTTTAGAGGAAGGACGTGAAGTAGGCGGGGTCAGAAGAGTGAAGTAGAAGGAAGTGGGGAGGATGCGACTGGGCGGTTTCAGTGAGAGTTTGGGGAGAGTCTAAGGCAGGCAAGACTGCTGGGGTTTAGTGTGACTGGGAAACCCACCAGGGCAGGAGACCACGTGGAGTAGCCTGGTGCAGAACCTGAGGAGGGCTGACTGGATTAGGTCTCAAACAGGACCCCAAGTGTCAGGATAGCCCCAGGAGCCACTCCTAGCCATGTAGTGCAGGACCAGGGGTAGGCGGCAAGGTAAGTGGGTCTAGGTAGGGGATGGGGAAACTCACAAGAGCCATAGGAACCACATGGAATCCTGCAGTGGGAAACATGAGGCTGGATGGGCTCTAGAAACTCACAGAGAGTCAGAGGAGCGGTGGGAATGGGGCACCTAGGGTCTGGTTGGCCTGGGAAGAGCACCAGTCACTGGATCATTGTAAAATGGAGCCTGAGGAAAAGTGGGAAAATGAACCTTTCCAGAGGAGCTTGCGGGTGGTGTGTTGTGATTCCCCAGGGATTTGGTCTTAATTTCCGTTTTTTCCTTTTTTATTAATTAATTTATTATTTATTATTTTGAGACAGGGTCTCCCTACGTAGCAACAGCTGGCCTGGGACCTGAAATGTAGAACAGGCTGGCCATGGTTATCTCACAGAGCTCAGCCTGCATCTGCCTCTGTAGTCCTGCGTTTAAAGCCTTGGTGTAAGCCTCTCGTTGTTGTTGTTGTTAGCCTTCAAAGTGCAAGTCAGCTCTGAAAATTTCCTGCAGATATTTGGGTTTGTTGGCCTGTGCATTCTTTTATGTAAAATTTTTTCATTTATTTTGTGGTTGCAAAAATATGCTCATAAAAGAGCTGGAGAGATGGCTCACTGGACGACCTACGTTTGACTCCCAGCACCCATGTGGCAGTGAAAAACTACACTTAAATCCAGTTCCAAGGGATCTGAGTCCTTCTGACTTCTTAGGGCACTGCACGACCTGGGTGCATTTACAAATATGCAGGCAATACACACACACACACAAAAAAAATTTTTTTGTTTGGTCTTTTTGAGACAGGATCTTCCAGTAGCCCCAGATGGGGCTATATAAACCAGGACGGCCTCGAACTCACAGAGAACCGACTGCTTCTGCCTCCCAAGGCCTGGGATTAAAGGCATGAGCCACAATGCCTGGCTCTTAATTTTTTTTTTAATGCTCATAAAAATAATGAACATCACTGATCACTGCTGGCTGAGGGAAAGTTGGTTTTATTCAAGGGTAAACCAGGTTCCAGTGGATAGACTCACATTGAAAGATATCTGGGGAGTGAAGCTTGAGTCAGTATGCCTGTACGAAGACTTTTTTTTTTTTTTTTTTTTTAAGTAAAGGGTGCAGTAGTATTGCGGTACCAAGTCTTTTTTTTTTTTTTTTTTTGATCTTTTTGAGACAGGTTCTTGCTGTAGCCCCAGCTGGCCTAGATTCTCTATGGAGACAAGGCTGGTCTTGAACTCACAGAGATCCACCTGCCTCTGCCTCCCGAGTGCTGGGATTTTTAATCCCATTGAACTCTAGCATTTGAAAGAAAAACTTCCTATTGCATCTTCCTCACAAATTCTGCCTAATACGGTGAGTAGAAGTGTTGGTGCTGTTTCAGTTAACAGCACCTGGCACAGTTAGGTTTGGGGTCAATGACTAGTGCTTCTGGAGAAAGCTTAGTGTAGCCTCTATTCCAAAGGATGAAAACCGTGTTACTCCGCCTTGTTTAGGTAAGGAGGTGAGGCAGCTACATTCCCATGATGTAGTAGGAATTCTTGATCTAGGCAGGAAAGCAGGAACTTCTATGGGGTCTCCATGTTGAGCTCTTTCTTCCTGCACATCTACTGCGATGGCAGACTGAGAATGGGCTGTTTTGTTTTCGTTCATGCTTCTTCCTCTTTTATGTTTGAAGTGGATTTTCAGTGAACTGAAAAGAAGTTTCTCCGAAGAAAGAGAAGACTGTTTATATAAGATTGCCTTGAAAGAGATGGCTTCTCTTCAAGTAAATACATCCAAGTGTATGGAAAACATTCTTTCTTTATAATTTTTATTTTAAATCTTGAACTTGTAACATACACTGGCAGAGTACATGCTAAGCAGAGCAGACTGGTCTGGATCTCACAGAGATCAGCATGCCTCTGCCTCTGGAGTCCTGGGATTAAAACCATGTGCCACCATACATGACCCATATCAACTCTTTACATATGTACCACCTATGTAG